TTTTTTTCGTGACATGAATATATAAAAAAAATAAAAAAAGAAAATTATGAAAATACAAAAACGCTATTTAGATTATTATATTCATTTACACGAATCTTCACGTATAACATCGCTGGCTCAAAAATATTAACACGATTTAATAAGCTCATACTCGAATATACTCGTCAATCACAAAGCAAGTTGCGCTGTCGGATCGGATGAAAAATATGTCTTCATTTTACAAAACTAATACTAAATTTTACTTCTTTGTTAAAATAAGAATACTACATATGTATTAAAATAAAAAAAAAACTAAGATAAAAAAATGTGCATATGTAAATGTAAAATGTAAGAAAAATGTTGATGGAAATCAAAGACTGTTTTCAAAATAAACAGTAAAAATATTATATAAATAGTTAATTCTTAATGATTAAGTATATTATTTTCTGGAACATTTCTGGAAGTTGGTGCAAATTGCCTTAAGATAACAACTACTTTTTTCAGTCGTGACCTTAAAATATTCAAAACAACTTAATATATTAGAATATATTTTGTTTTTTTTTTAAGAATTTTAATTTTAATAAAAGTCAATACGCCTGACGAATACACTCGTCAATCCACAAAGTTCTGCCTTTTTCTTGACGAGTATATTTGTCAAACACAGTTAACTGGTTAATAATATTCAATTAAAATGGTAGTTCTCGTGGTATAATAATAAATCCTATCAATAATTTGACACAATTATATTATTGTAACACATAACAATCTAAGTGCTATTTTAATAACTAATAAATGTTTGCCTTTATTGGATATTCCATGATCTTCTGAAGCTTGTTTTCTTAAGGACCCTCTTTTCACCATTTGCGAAGAAGGAGTAACAATTGAAGATTTTGGTCTGGACATGCTCATTAATTTTAAATGCGACTAATTTTAACTAATCGAAATTTATTTTGTTATTTTTGGAATTGTATTCACTTTTACACAATTTAATAACGAACCAATTTTTATTACACTACGCAATATATTTTTCGGCTAAATTTTTTCTAATAGCAAATTATTATTAATAGCATTTTATTCTAGTGTGAAACAGTTACAAATTAAATAAAAATTATGCTTAATTTTGAAACTTGAAAATAACATAAATTAAAACATTCTCCACGCTGCGTGGATACTGACTGACTTACATCAAATCAAGTTTAGGCATGCCTTGTACATCAGAGAGTTTAGTTTATATAAGTATACGAACACATAGGTAAAAACTTCTATTCTATTATAGATACCTATTCTTTCAATTACCCTACAAAACGATGTTTCATGTTAAACTGAAGTTCTAAGAATGAATAAAATTACCATTACAAAAAATAAATAAAAGTAAAATTACCGGAGATGCTTAGATTCACAATATAAACGTTAATAATATAAGTATATATTGAAACATTCTTATATAGTACGAAAATATAATAAGAAATGTAATAAAGGCAATTTATGTATAGTCGATATTGAATTTAATAAATTTTTGTGAAAAAGTATCTTATATAAAATTACATTTTTTTTTATTTACATTTAAGAATTATAATCTGTCGTTCTTATACAACATTCAGAAATTTTGATGGTAATTAAATAAAGGAAAAAAAGGTCGAAAGGTTACCCATTGGTGATCTATTCGATGTTGGATAAGTTTATATATTTATATAGATGTAGTCCTGTTATGAAAATATTTAATTAAGCCTACGAGTAATTGTACATATTATAGGATTACTAAAAAATATCAAAAAGTGGCCATTTTCTTCTGAGCCATTCAATGCCATGGATTTTTATTAAATTTTTGGCCAAAAATTACAAAAATATGCATAAATTAATATCTATTCAATAAAAATATATACATGTTTTCTTTGCTATCATACAATCTTTATGATTTTAAACCAATTGATTATAAATGCTTTGAGATTATTTATATTAAAAAAGCACATAGAACATAATGCTTAAGTACCAAAAAGGAAGGAAATGTAAATTGGTTCGAAAAGATAGGAAAAAGTAAACTAAATGGATAATAGATTTCCGTCATAAAATACAATAATAAGGACAATGTCGATCACGCAGTCAAAAGTAATTACCAAAACAATAATAAAAATGGCCTCACTTCGTGCAACTTGATATCAAGCAGTATCGATATCATTTTGTTTTTATTTTATAATATGGTCCAAATATGTTAGCAAGTAAAAATGCCATTTCATTAAAATTTGCTCTAAAATATATATATCACATTTAGAAGTATATAATAACTTCCTTTCAACGAGCAAGAAAAATCATTGAGTTGCCTTCTAATAAAAGATAGATAGTAAAATATGCAGAAAACTTTACACTGTATTCTAATTAAACGTCTAATAGCAAATAATTAGATTAACGTACCTTTAAACTACTTCTATTTGTCTTAAATTGCAGTATGATAACAATAAAAAATACTTGAATTGTTAAAACGATGCAGAATAAATATGTTATAAAAAATATAAGAGAAAAACGATGAACTTGATCTTGTAAAAATCACTTTTGTGTTTGGTTAAAATATCTTCAAATATTTTTATTTTCAAATATTAGTAAATGTATTACATTTGCCAAATTTGGGACAGACAGATTATGCTGAAAATTAATAATATTTAAACTTCATTTGAGAATATTTTATATGAAATTCAAATATGTGTATCAGACTGACGTGGATTAAAAATGTTTAATAAATTTCAAACCTAGCTTTAGTCATCGATTTCAAATGGATTCTTTTTTCATATATTTTATTAAATGTTTATTTGTGTCTGTATCTTTTATTTGTTGTTGGAATATCATATATATTTTAATATATATTGCAGAAGACAATCAATATTTCATTCGGTTCAGTAAATAATTTTATACTTTTTTTTCTTAGTGCGTGAAATCAACTTTTAGAACCTTTAATGTCAAAGCGTTTTTAAATAATAAATAAGAAAATTACCATGTTATGACATTGGAAATAATGTATTATTTCTTATTCCCAAAACTAGGATACACTTATTAATTATAAAGCCTTAAACACTTTGCTAAGAATTGTTCCTATCACCATACATGTGTGTATGATATTGATACCTAGTTTCGAAAATGAACTGGTGTATGTTTAGTGACCCCATAACAATAAGAATTTCGCTTCGGTTTGTATAATCGATATTCCAATGATAGACATGAAACGAACAATTCTCAAACTATAGAAAAATACTTTGGAAATATTAAGCCGATGGTTATGACTCTTCCGTTCATAATATACATTTAAAAGCATATATTGGCTTAGTCACAAAAGGAAAAGATGATTATATGTATATCTGGAATGTTTAAAAATTTCATTATAATCAATATCTGTATTTGATATGCTTTAATAGAAATATGAGATTTCGTTTTTTCCTAAAAGGCGAGTTACCAAAACCGATAATTTTGTTTGAATTTTTTATGTTTCAGGCATTTTTGATCAGTTTAAATGAGAAAGTGTTTGATATTTTTTGTACTACATAATTCAATTATTCGATTTGCAGATAGGTACTAAATCTTTAATAATTTCTTAAAATTATTTAAATTAAAACATTGGCAAAATGATCTACATTGACCATTTGGCATATCAAAACAAATTAATATTACATGTTTTTACTACTTGCATGCAACAATTTTAATGAGATGATTAAATCTTTTGATACCAATACTTTTAATGCTATCTGATCATTTTGGAATACTTTTTAAATAAATTGATATACCACATATTTGTGCATTTGTATGTAACATTTAATGTACAAAAAAAATATCTACGTTTTCGAGACAAGTGAGAGATCAAGTGATTGGAATAATTTAAAAAATATCGATTAGTACTAACTGTCTTGATTTGGTTGATTACGAATTATTGGATTTGTAGATATGTACTAAATGTTTAATAATTTACAAAAATTATTGAAATTAAAACATTGGCATAATGATCTACATTGACTTTCTAAAATATTAAAACTAGTTTGGTCAACGAATTTTAACATGCATTATCATCTAATCGACGACTTTAATAAGAGGATTAATAATGATATTAAGAGGAAAGTTTGGTATCTTCACTTTTTAAGCCCTCTGATCATTTTTTAAATAAATAAATTTAATAAATTGGATTAATTTAAAAAATAGCGATTCGTACTGTGTTGATTAGATAAGCAGATTTTAAAAGAGGCAGGCCCAGCCCTGTTGAAGATCCTTAGAAAAAACGGTCTGATTTTAGTTTTTTTTTTTTTGATATGGGCATATTTGAATATTTTTATTAGTGTCTTGTCTACATCTTATAAGAAAGGAATTCAAGTATATTATATAAAATATACTTCTAATAAGCATTAATAATCCTTGTGTTTTAATATGATATATTGTGAATAATGCTAATATTTCATTAACACAAAGAAGGGAACATAAATATATACTATTTACAAACTGCCAAGAGGTTTTTTTTAGGTGGAAAGTGACCTATTTTGATAGTTTTCTATCCAATTGTTTTGGTACTCCAATTCAAATACTAATGGTTTTCCTCAATGTTCTTCTTTAAAGGTCTATATTTTTAAGATGCAAACCAATCAACTTTTTGATCTATAGTATTTTCATTTGTACAACATTCTCTATACAAAAAATTTATTATACAATTTGAATTTTATATTGTACTTTTATATTGATAAGAGCGACAGTACTTTATTCAAAGGTCCCGGGTTCGATACCCACTTTGAGCAGTCACTTAGATATACTTAGTTTATCTGTATTCCAAGATGAACCAAAATGCAATTTAAATATTTATAAATAATAAATTATATCAATATCGATATATTAATTAATTAATTTCTAATTAATATATTAATTTATTTATATATAAATAAACAAGCGGTAATAATGAAAATTTATTTTAACTTTTATTTTATTAATAACTTTTTAAGATAAAAGTTTTATAAGTATAATGATAAATAATTTATATCATATTTTTTTTATATTTACAGTTATAAGATATCAAGATGAATTTCCGCGATAATTCAAATATCGAGTATCGAAAGCTGGATGCTCCATTGAAATTTATCAATAAAAACTATATCACCATAGGCGATAAAGATCGAGAAAAATATAGCAAAATATTGGCCGATATCTTAGAGGTAAATGAATAATAATATTGCAAGTAATAAAAAAGACCGATTTGTCCAATATATAATAGTAAATATTCGAAGTATGTGGCTAGCATAGCAATAGACCACAGTGATGATTATAATTTTTTTTAGTTTTTGTTATTGATGTTTGATTAAATAAAAAAAAATATCGTAATTTTAAAACAGCCCAACATGTAAAAGGATTGAAAAATATCCTTTAGAAAGTTGAAAATCTATTTATTTGGAAAAATATTCTAATAAGATTCTTTTTTTTTGGTAAGATTACGACTTAAATCATTTTTATTAACTTATGATAATAGGTAGGCCAGCCTTGAAATTTAACTAGTATTTATTATGCAAATTATAGGCCATAATAATAATTAAAACCAAAGCCTTTGCAATTGTTTATTAGTAGACAGGGAATAATACAGATCAATGCTATAAAGTCTTAATTAAAATAGCGTTACATTCATACAGTAATGAATATAAACTATGAATATATATAAACTATGAAAACTAAATTAATGTACTTTATGACATAAATATAGCTTTTGTGCTTTATTTCCATAATTTTAGGCATTCCGTAGAAAAATGGCCGAATCAGATGAAGTTTACAAAACTTTTGAAGGAGCGGTGCATTATACAGGTAATTTGAAATATTTTATCAGTTTTAGTTGATTATATTATTTATACTGAAAAAACTATGGCAACAATAATATCATAAACGATAAATGCAATAAATTATATACCAAAAACGAAAATGCATAAAAGATTTAAACGGCATTGCCTATCTGTATTTTCATTTATTAATCTATTTACTTGATTTTATTGGTGTTGTTTATTTTTTTTATTGGTTTTGTCGTTTTAACCTGAGTTATGGCGAGATAGCCTAACTTATTATTTGTTAATCAAATTAATTTTTTTAATCGTTTACTTTAAATTTAATTTGTTTGAAGATATTTGGACTAAACGACGAAAATTCACATAATTATATATAGAATTGATCTATGACAATCGCCGCACACCTTCAGATTTTTTTATGTCAGAACAAATGATATCTTATTGGACAGCATTTCCATTGATTTCCATAAATATCTTCTTTGTTTAAGTTTATGGTTTTGCTTACAACGCTTGTATTAATAATTCAATTATTTTATTTGATAATTAAGTGTATTTAATTAAAATTCAATACTTTGTAATTCAACGATGATTTTATTAGATATCGACATTTTTTTACTCTTTTTTGTTTTTGTATGTAAAATCATGACACACTTAATCTAACTTGGAGCTAATTTGCTCCACTTATATCGTATTGAAAGTACCATGATTTTTAAGCCTAATTTCATAATCACTTCATGCTTTACGCAATTTCTCAAGTATTGTCTTTATCTAAATACCATGGGATTCAGATTATGCATAAATCAATAACAAAATCACTAAAATCTTATTACCCAAATATAAATATGCATCCACTTTCACTTGATACCCTAATATACATTCATTTTTATGGAATAGCTCAGTTTGAATTGATTTCTTAATTTTTATAACAATATGTTCAGGCAGTGCTTACGACAAAGTAAAAGTTGGAAAACCAGATGAATTTGATTTGAATATAGTTATGAAATTGCCTGCTGCTTGGGACTACCAAAATGACATCGAGGTAATATCTGAACTACTGTACTGTTTGATTGTATTTCTTTTTGTATATATTTTTTTGGAATCTTGTTTATTAAATTAAATGGACGTTTTCCTTGAGTATATGAATTTACATAATCAATTGATGTAACATGCGTATTAGCACAGTATGTGTTATATTCTTGTGCGTTTAATCGAAAGTTTTTATATAACAACCCGTTAAGTTGCATTGGCATTTTTACAGTATGTTCTCTGCATAAATAAAAAAATGAGACTTTTGAGAATTATATAAATGCCTAAAATATACTTCAAGTAGGTAAATATATTCCATTTTTGCAAATATTATCATTCACTTCAACAGGTGAAGAATTCAAGTCCTAGCTACGTCACAATTAACGTAAAGTCGGGTTGCGAAAGATCATACAGAGACCCGTCTTTCTTAAACAAATATCAAAGGTAAGTATATATTTTTGGATCCTGCTCAGTTAGGAACTTTTTATCAATTTTTTGTGTCTGTAGTGTAGACTAATCGCCTTACTAATAATAATGAGCTGTAGGTTCTATATTTATTTTATAGCATGAACTCACTGAAATAACTATGAATTGTTTGATTTTATTATTATCATTGCTACGCATTGAAATAGGGCCTTGCTATTAGAGAATCACATTCTTTTCCTCTTTTTCTTTCTTGGTATAACACCAGCTTCAAAATTTCGCTTCTATGCTTCGTGTCTTGAGTCTCATCAAGTCATCGATCATCTAATTCTTTTGTGTCTAAGTCTCTTTAGTCCTTCCATTTTATCATCATCGACATCAGATGGCGTTTTTTGCAAATGGGTCCTCATCCAGTTTTCTTTTCTTTTTTCAATCATTAAGGCACGATGCCATGCACCACTAATTTTCTTAGCTATAAACCTTGCGGAGCTTGAGATCTTTCAAACGAATGCAATGCAAGCAAAATTCGGCAAAATCGGTTAGTGCGTTCTGGAGTTACATTGTCAGGAAGGAAAAGCCGACTTATTTTTTATATATATGGTCAATAAAAGTAGCTTAGGTACACATGATTTTTAGATACTAGGGATCAAAATAAGATACTTTGCCGCAGAAACCATACCTCTAAAATGAATTCTGACGTTCCTTGCAATGACCCAAAAATAAGGGTTGAAATTTGAAAAATGCCATTTTGGCCCATTTAGAGTGCCCCAATCGCGTCCAAATATATGACCGACCCCTACTAACTTTGGAAAGTCGATTTACCCATGCCCGCGGTTCATCCCCTGGGACCTCCCCCTGAGCGGTTTTTCAACATTCAACCCTTATTTTTGGATCAACGCACGGGACATCAGAATTTATTTCAAAGGTATGATTTCTTCAGCAAAGTATCTTATTTTGATCTCTAGTATCCGAAAATCATATGTGCCTAAGTGACTTTTAAATCGACCCGCCCTGATATATATATATATATATATATATATATATATATTTGTGTTTATTTGCATTATGTTTCAATATGCGTGTTTGCGCACTAAGTATTATAATTGATTTCTTTTCTCAGGGGTATAAGGATTTGGACAGATAACGAAGGATATTTTATTCAAGAACAATTCCATGCATGGATGGAAGGAGTTGTTAAAAAAGCATTAAATAAATTTCCCTCACATGGATTAGAGTACATCATACAAACAAATGGACACGCTATTTATGTACGTAATATGCATATTTAATTTATTAAATATAAGCCATAAAATTAAATATAAGCAACTAGCAATACTTAACCGAAATAGAACCTAGTACTAGCAAATCACTTAAGTTATAACTTAACTAAAATTAATATTTTGTAGGAATAAATTAACTTAATTCTTGCGTACATTTCAGATATCAAGATTCAGATGAATTTGATATCAGAACAATCTTTGTTCAATTATATATTTTTTAATTGTAAATTTGACCAAAATTTTAATTTGTTGTTAAAGAATTATTTCTTATGAAAGATGTTACTTTAGATTTAGATTTAGATGCAAGATATCAATATGTAGTTTTCAAATTGCCATATATAAATATTTCAGGTTAAGACAAAAAAATCAGGCCCAGCTGTGACATTGCAATGTGAGAGTCAAGACAGAAAGATAAAAATAGACGTCGATCTGGTACCAGTAATTCAATTTAATAATAATTCGTCTACTTTGTGGCTTTCTCCACCTGTTAGACAAAAACCTCTTCTTTGTTGTAAGGTAAGTATATTTTTTTATTACAATGGGCATTGTTTATAACTTTATTACACGCATGATATGTGAAGTAATATAATTAAGTTCATAACGTTTATTTAATTTGAAATAAATTTTGTTTGTGCAATTCTTATATCACTCTATAAATAATAATTATTATTTGTGAATAATTAATCTGTGACTCTGTGGTAAGAAGTTTGGCCTTTCAACCAGAAGGTTTTAGGTTTGATATCCACTTCTTTTAGCTTGATATCAAGCATTAATGATATCGCTTTTTACTTGAAAATATTTATAGAAATATGGTTTTTTAATGTAAGTAACCCTTCGCCAGCATTGCTGCGCCAAATTTCAAACTATTCGTATTAGGCAAATTGTAACAATATATGTAGTCTTATAAAAAGCGGCGTCTTACAAAAAGGATAATGCTCATCACTGCTCCCCTAATAGAAGTTCTGATTGGTCTTATAAAACATATTTAACAAAAATAATAGGCTGTATGCTTTTAAATGGACTTTAAAAATTTGTTATAAAATGTTGACTATATTTGTACTGAAGCATTTCGATTTATAGAAAACTTGGTGCGCTGTTCCTAAGCCAAAAAAGAACGGTTTTACTAATAAAAATCGTGAATGGCGAGTTTCGTTCACTGATCAGGAAAGAGATCTTTTATATAATAAAGGCCGCATAAAAAACCTTATTAGACAAATTAAGGTAAGTAAAAGTATACTATGTTTTTTTTGTTTTTTTTTTTACGTTGCAAACTATGCAAGTACATTCATCTACTATAAATTATGTATTTTATTTCAAATTGCTTTATTTGAATGATGCTTTATCTGAATAAGGTCAATTGAATTCTCTTTTTATTCATTCTTAAACTGTGATGCAAACGTCACAATGAATTGAATTAAAAAATCTAGAATTAAAAAAATATTTAACAGTCTTATTTTAGGCATTAAAATAAATGTTTAAAATTAAGCATATACACGACCATAAAACGTAACAACTCTTTTTCACAGAAATTGAAAAGTGTTCATGAAGAGACGAAAAGTTTACCAAGTTATTATGTGAAAACAATATTTCTTTGGGCCTTGGATGACAAAAGTCTCGATCAAAATATGTGGACCCAATGGTCAGATGGAGCGCTTTTTATGTTTGTATGTATATTTGCATATATTTTTTATGATTACATTTCACGAAGTAGATTTCGTAAAATTTGCCTATTATGTAAAGTAATGTAATGTTACAAAAAGCTCATTAAGTTACACATATCTAGGATATGAAAATCATATCTATCTAAAGATATTTTGAAAAATATTAGTTTATGCCTGGCTTTCTCTCTCCATATATGGTTTATATTTAATTGATTGATTTGGGGAATTCAATACATTATCATTAATAAATGATTCCATGAATATTATAGATGTTAAAAAGGCTACACAGTCATTTAGATGAAAACAAGATTCCTTATTATTGGGATTCTAGATGCAATTTGTTGGATGCTTTAGGATATGCCGTTAATAATATGAAATACAAGATTCAACGAATAATAAAAGAAATTGACAATTCATTAGATAATCCAGAAGTTCTGGCTAAATATTTGTGTGAGTACCAAACATACATAAAATATAATATATATAACTGTATCAGTACAAAACTTATAACCAATCTTCGCTTTCTGATAAAATAGAAAATTTATTGTGTATATTTTTATGAAAGTATTGCTCTCATATTACAAATGTTCTAACTCAAAAATTCCACACAAAAACAGCGAAATATGTTTTGAGTTATAAATCAATAAAATATATACTAATACTGTAGAAATATTAGCGGTTAGTTATTCTAATTAGAAAACATTATAGTAGATTTTATACTATATCAATAGAATGTTCAGGGCTTGCACCCGAATTTTCGAGTATTAGAATCTATTTTTCATTACAATTATTTGTTTTGTTCAGAAATCCGTCTTGTTAACTTTGCGATCTCGATTTCAAGTCACTCTGAGTCGTTTGATACCAACATTGGAAATAGTATGTGAAATGTGAACCAAACATTGTCTTCTTGTAGACACTTATTCAAGATTTATTTCAAAATTTTAAGAACCAATTGATTAAAGTCGATTTAAACTTGCGTTGATTAGTTTACCGAACCATTTTTTAATAATTAGTAGATAAGTTCACTTGGATCACATTTCGACATAAATCCAGAACCGATTTTGAAAATTTTCTGTTAAGAAATATCAGTTGGGAATCGTGATTATAAGTTTCAGTGTAATTTTTTGTTGATTTTTTTGCGTATTTGACGAAACTTTTTATTATATTGTTTATAATATTAACGAACGAACATCCTAAAAAAAGTGGTTTAATTTATAATTTATATTATTAAATTTATAATGTTCGGCTAAACGATTCTCCAATGCAGTATATAGTTTATCTATGTTTATTGGGTCGAAAAATGTCTAAAACAATAAAATCTATTAACATAAATGCGGATATTATACTTTTGTATTAAGGGGGTCTTCCTATGTGACGGCCTGTTTTTTAGGGATATTTTAGGATTTTTTTTTCTACGACCAGTAAATATTGAGAGCTTCAAGTTTTTTATCATTTATTAACACATATTTGGACAGTATAAATATAAAATTTCAGCTAAAAATATTCAGTCAAACTAGAGTTACAGCGCTCTGAACACCCCCGCCTCGAAAAAAATAGCTCCCACTTCCTCTACGATTCCGGCTGATCGGCTTATCTGACCAAAAAAAATAAACGGCGTTTTAATTTGTAGGCTTAAAAGCACGGAATGACCTATAATCAAATGAATACAAAAAAAATTGGATTTTTGATAGACATTTGAAATAAAAGTTGCAAATTAGGCGCGTTTTGTTTTTGTTTTTTACTATAAAAAAATCGAAGTTTTGAAAATTTTCCATGCGTTTAAACATATTGAGTGTGCCCTGTAAATTTCAAGTAATTCGGTCCAGCCGTTTCTGAGATACAATGGAGGAAAGTTTGAAAAACACAGTTTTGAGAAAAACGCGTTTAAAGATAAAATGATCGTTGTACTATATACTATATGTATACTTTTTAAATGGCTGTAACTCAAAAACTATTTAAGATATCGATTTGAAATTTTAATATGTTATTTTTAAAGGTGTAATGTACCGAAATATGAAAAGAAAAATAAATCGATTTTTTCAACTCATCACATAGGAAGACCCCCTTAAGATTATAAAAATTTCTTCAAATTACTATTAAAGTTACTCTTAAGTATTAAATTTACTCTAAATTACTATTAAAGTTTTGAAGGAATTATTGTAAATTCATTTATAATTTGGGTTTGATATTATTTATTAATTTATTAATACAAATTAGGATTTTGTTTCTCGACTAATTAATGAATATATTTTTTAAAACATTATTACTTGAAATTTATGAAGTATTTGAATTTATCATGTTGTATAATAACGCAGTTGACAACGATATATAATTGATAAATAGTGTTCTGATAAACAATCAAAGATACCTTATATTTTATAATGATTGTTACATAGTTCTTTCTAAAAATAATTAATTTTATTATATTGATATACTATATAATTAGTACGAATATTAGTATGTCTTTAAATTGGCAGAATAGAAAAAATAATTTTATTTTTAATGTTTTCTAATGAATTTGTTTGACTTTTAACATAATGTACTTTATTTTAAAACATTTTTGACATCGTGTTAACAATTGAGTCTAAATCATTAGGACGTCAGTACCTCATTGCTAATGGCTGTTTTCTCTTAACATATTTTACTAAGTAGAGAAGTCGAATTATTGCATATTGTTGTTATGATTTATATAATTTCTACAGTAACTGCAGATGAATTTGCGGACTTCAGGAGAAGATATGGTTCTATCGAAGAAGGGTTTGAATCATTGTCCATTGATTCTGCCCCACCAGTTAGTGATTTACGTGGCGATTCTAGGTGTTGCATATTATAAATGTGTTCAGAGAAATTATGTTTTAACAATTTTATTATCACTTTGACTGAAACTGTTGCATAGTTTCGTTTTATAATATTTTATCAATATTCACGTTTTTTAAAGATTTTATAATAATAATCTTATATCATGTTTTACAATTTCATTAATAAATATGTATTTGAATGAATGAATGAAATCATTTTATTCACTATTGTAGAAAATTTATTTCTTAAATGGGATGATTATTTAGAAATATTATATGAATATTTATGTGGAAAATAAGGCAAAATGAAGATCACATATCGCCTAGGCGCTTGTAACGTCCAAGAATCTTTGGAAATTCAGGATCTGTTCAGTTTAATACGAATCAAATCCCTGAGTACTGATAGTATATTGAACGATTGAGTGATGATTGAAATCAATTGATAACTAAATATATAAATCAATTTAAATTTTTCGTAATTTTCAAAAGAATTTAACCGTATTCAAATTATCAAATTTTTTAGAAATTATACTAATCGCTTAGTTGGATTAGAATGATTAGTTCCACGCGATGTTTGACCAAGACGCTTCGTAATTGCAAAATTGAGTGCAAAATTTTTCATTATTTTTTCGATTTTGAAAATTCAGAATCTATGAAAAAGGCATCAATTGGCAATCGTGCTGATTATATATTTGGTAAAGATCTGCCGAGGCGTTTCCTAATTTAAGCCGTCAAATATTTGTTGAAATTTTTTTCCCGATGCTAATGGTGTTTTGCGTAGTTATAAGATTAATATAGTCTTTAACTGAGATCAGTTATGTTTGAACATGAATATATTAAGTATATAAATAAATTGCAATATGGATTTTTTAACATCTTTTTTTTTAAAAAAAGTTGAATTCAAAAATACGTCTACAAGTCGATTTTTCTAAATTTAAATTATTTTTGCAAAAATAGTTGCTTCAACACGATTCCTCCACGAAACTTTAAAAGCATTTTTTCGAAACTGCATTTAACTTTTACTGGACCGGTTTTTACTTGACATTTTTTCAGAGTCTTCTTTATAGACTTCTCTTCAGTGTAAACTACACTCAAATCTAAACTCCTATTTATCCTATTTTTTAAAAAATCCCGAGTATCAAAAACGGTGATATTTCTTCTCAGGCAGTCGCTATTTTCTGAAAATAAGATTTAAACTTTTCCGTTGTTTATACGATTGCAATATTATTTTATATCAATAGTATATATTTTCTTCAGATTATTTCGATTAGTTGCCAAAATCATGGGTATGTTATTCAGGTGCCAAATTTTTGAGAACCCTTACTTCATCTACAATTAAAACTTTATGATTATTTTTTTATGTATTATCGAAATATTAACTAACTAGTGGTGCATGGCATCGTGCATTAAGGTAAATTGCTGAAACTTCCAGTACCATAATTTAATACTCGAGGAAAAAATTCAGTAATCAATAGATTAATAACAATTGTTCTAAATATTTTCAAATAGATAATTATAAGTGCTATATACTTTATCGCTCACATTATGTAGCGACGATCTTATTGCATAAAACACTTGAAAATGTTTACATTAACTTGCCGAATGAATCTGTCTGAGGATATATTTCTTACGATTAGAATAAAGCATTTGAAATATATACATTTTTAAAATGGATTGTAAATTTAAAATTTATATTTAAAGTATGACACTTTGTATATTTTAGTTTAATTTATATTTAAAAATTAAAAATCTTGGTACTGAACCCAAAACAATTGTAACAAAATATGATAATTTGATTAACATGTCTAATAATTATTTTTTGACCGCCTATATCATTTATTTTTTACTTTTTTATGCTAGACCTGCCTTTTTAAAAAAATTAAACAGTCATTTCGTCAAAACAAGCAAAATATTTTTTGAATCATTCAAATCAGGCGCTCGGTTTTCTCAAAAACTGAAGTTTCGTTTTTGGCATTTTTTGTCCCGTATCTGCGAAACGGCTGGACTTCCAATCGAATCAAAAATGATTGAAAGTACTGAATGATTCAAATCGGTTGATCCGTGCGCACGAAATCATGGACGAAAAATTGTATCCAAACATACATACACACACATAAGGTATGCCAAACTTGTGCTATATATATGAGATAATTTACGTGAGATATAATATTAAATTTGTTCTTATTACTGTGTTAATTTTATTGTGAACAAATTTGCAATTTAATACTTTTACTACATATACATAAATCAAATTTTACCTCTCACAGATATATCGTTCTTGTGCGGTCTGTGGAGTGAAGATAACGTATAATAAAATTACATTTTAATCAGAATGCACAAATGGGTTTCACGATTGAATGGTTTTTAATGCAAACCTTTGCACATGCGCGATCTCGAACGATATATAAGATCCATGGAACAGAGAAATATCTGATATTTTCGAAATATTCGCAATACTTGCCAAAATATTGTTACAATATACTTTTTTTTATTATTTACAAATGGATACCAGCAATAAAAAAATTGAGGAAATTTTAACTTTGATAAAGAAAACGGGAATATCGGGGAACATTTTGTTCGATCCTAAGATTACGCGGGTTTGTGAAAAATATGATTCAAAATGTAAATATTTTCAAAGGCAGTTTCTTTTTATTTATGCTGCTGTTTTTATTTATATTTTTTACTACTTGTGTAACTTCATTCAATTGGGCAGTGAGGTAAGTTAGTCATTTTATCTTCTCTATTTTATATAACTATATTGTGAAATATTTTTTTTTTATTTACTTATTGATTAAAAATTATTATTAAAAACATTCGAAAAAGCTGTCTCGCAAATAATTTTTATAGTTAGTTAAATAAAATGAATTAATAATTAAGATCGAATTGCAAAATTTAAAATTAGCAAAAATGCAACGCAAATTAGTATTTAATACTATCCAATTCTATTTATATACCTAAATATACCGTAAAAAGATTTTTATAAAAACGATAAAACGGTTGGCATTTTTTTAAATATCATTTGACCAGCAATCAGAAATTAAGGGCTCTTTCGATGATAATACTTAACTAAATTACGCCTGTTTTTATTAAAGGTAACCCAAGCACCTCTGTGTCCCTTAGTTGGCAATAACATTTCATAATCATAATAAATGTATCACAAATACACTTTTTTTTCTATAATATTGAATTTATTTTAAAATATTAATTGTGCATATTGATAAAAAAGTTGATATCTCGTTGTGTATATCAACCATATATCAATAAGGCCAAATGCAATTAGATAAAATTATTATTGCTGTACTAGAAATTATTTTATATCATATGATATTCATCAATATTTCATACGACCAAAAATATCACCACGGACAATATTTTTTCAATATAAAATACTTATAGTTAAATAATTTATAATATTTTTTTCTAATTTTTAATAAAAAAAATTTGGAATTTCATATTTATTTTAGGACTGCATTTTAAAAATGCCAAGAATAGCAAACGATATTTTTCGACCTCCTATCAATTGTGATTTTTGCAGGTACGTTGAATTCTATTATAATAATGTGATTTTTTTACTGTTCTGTAATATTAATAACTTCTATGATTAATATTTTTTTTTAATATCTGATATAGACTAATATTCTTGAAATTATTTCGTTTTATGGTCCATTATGTATCATCCTTCAAATGATGATTAATTGATTGTGTTTTATTATATTCAAATTGAAATTCCTGTACTGGGGATGATTATAACAGAGATTGATAGGAAAATTTGCAATATTTTTTTCATATTAAGGAGTCTTCTTCTAGTTCGTTGAGAATTAGGTGATTTAACAATTGCTTGTGATTTATTATATTCAAATTCAAATTCCTGTACTGGGGATAAATATGACAGGGATTGATAGGAAAGTTTGCAATAATTCTTTCAAATTAAGGAGTCTTTATATTAATATTTGCTATAAAATTATATTTTACAACTGAATGCTAAAAAATTTCTGTATTTTTTCTATGCAAATATTAAATTAAAAAATATAATTTCAAGTAATTCCTTAAATTCCTTTTATTTTGCTAAGTTGCACTCATCAGCAAAATAGATAATGATTGACGTACATGCGAA